CTCCACTGGTAATTTGCTGCCACCTAAGGGACACAGAGATACTGTGCATGGTGCAAACAGGATATGAAACACAACTGTAAACACGGCTGTGCTCTCCTTGCTTTGCATGTTTTAAATGTTTAATTGCCTCCACCTTTGTCTATTCCTGTACCTGCAATTGTTAGATGTGAATGAGGTGTAGATCTTTGAGGTTAACTTGACTTTAATCTCATATTTCTTTGTTTCAGATGTCATTTCATACTGGTTTGATACACCCACCTCCCCCTTTTATTGTGTTACCCTGTCTCAAGTTTATGACATTCATTTGCATCCTTGTAAGTTTTATGTTTGTCTAACTGTTGAATGTTTTACTTTACTTTATTTGTGTGTGCATACAAAAAAGTGTAAACAGCTCATTCGTCCACCCTGAAAAAATAAAGTTTAAATAATTAAAAGGCCCAGTTTGAATGATTTAAATATATACATTGATTTATATGTATTTTTTTTAAATGTATGTGTTGGACATGAGCTGTAAAGTGGCAGAATAATACTTGAGGCTGTGTTTAACACAGTAGGCAACGTATATATTTGAAGCTTTTTATCATTTTATTCATGTCTCTTGCTCATTATAATCTCACACTTAAGTTTTGTGGTTTATCAGTTTATTGAACCGCTGGACTGTCATTTGTACATGAAATGCAAAGATCTGGGATCTGAGCAACTCTGGTTAACAATGCAGGATCGAAAGCTCAAACTTATCCCACCCTGGGAACTAGTTTGGTCTTCTACACTAATACATTTTGAAATAGTAAAATAACACAGCAAAGCCCACAATAGATAGAAAAAGAAAAGAAGTGAAAGATTGCAGGCAGGATGATGAACATGAAATTATATGTGAACTAAATGAAGCAAAATTTCTTCAGAGGATTCATTCCACCCTCTGTTCTCTGCACCTGGCGCTCCCCTATCTCATCAACTACTGACACACACACACACACACACACACACACATTCCTCATACATCAAAATGTCTTTGTTTTGTTTCCTCGGCTCCTTGCGTTGCCCTGCAGAGCTCTCACACTGTGATGAGCTTGTTTCGGCATTTTTTCAGTTTGCAGATAATGTTGAATGTCGGTCCAACTACAGGGTGTGGACACAACAACATGACAACACATCAGCAACAACAACAGAACACACATCAGTACCGAGTTCTCGTTTTCAAATCTCCTCACGCAGCACAACAGCAGTCGTTATGGACTAAACCGTGGATGATTGAAATGCATTCAGTGACCACAACTCCCACTAAACTTCTGTGGATTTACAGTGCACTTTGCACAGGTTTACATACCATTTAAAAAAACAGTTAAATTTATATTTAGATGCTAAGTGCTAAGTGTAATAAATACAACTTCAGTGTCCTTCATTCTGCTGTATCAACATTTAAAAACATCCAACCCGAGAGGAATTCTCTCTCTTTATAACCCCCTGGTCACATGATCAGACATTTCGCTTAGATGCAATAAATGCTGGATTGATCAGGCTCCAAAAAGATTCTGTATGACAAAGGATGTGATGTGGGTGAGAACTTGGAGCTAAATACAGAAGGCAGGGTTATCTGACTGTTGTATTTCTATATCTGTGGCTATCCTACACCTGTACTGTATGTTTAGTTTACAATAATTCAAAATATGTTTGGGAATAGACACCACTAAAGCATAATATCAGATGAGTGTATGAGTGAGGGCCTTAAAATGGGTCCTTCAGTATTTCAATTATGTTCCAAGTAGATGTTTTATCAAATAATTTCACTGCAACCTTTGCTACTAATAGTGTTCCAGCATAGAAAACTGCACTAACTGATATAGTCAATGCTTTTATTTTTTTGCGCTGTAGCAGTTTAGCAGCACCTGCAGGGTTTGTCGTGTTATTGCAGGGAATCACATTGCATTCACTGTATATTCACAAATGAATAACTAAATAAATAATGGTGACCTCATCTCATAATTATGGCTCACTATCTCATAATTACATATGATAAAAAAAAAAAATTTGTAGTGGCAATATAGCCTACTATATCTGAAATTCACATTCACAGAATACAGAACACCACTTGTTAACTCATGATCAGGTGGCAGGTGTAGTCTGCCAAAGGTAAAGGTCTCTGTGACCTCAGAAAACACTTTTTAGCCATCACTTAAGACACACAGCAATTAGGACAACATTTCACACAAATGGTTAATATCTTATGACTCTAAACAGGGATGTGAACTGAAAATAATCTGAGTGACAGACAACCACAAGGCGGTAACTGTAGTTTTTATCTGGGGTTGGTATTTTTAATATATGCATTTATTCTTAAAGTTTTTATTTATTAATCTTTGACTTCTTACCTCTTACTTACCTTTGACCTTTTACTTTTGCTGTTATTAGCAGTAGGTCTGGTTATATTAGTAGTTAGTTTTAATAGCAATCAGCCCTCACATAGGCCTATACAGTCCACTGGTGGAAACAGTGACGGTCATGTTGAAGGTCGTTTCCCCTTTAAATTTAGCTTTTTGTCGATGGTGTTTTGTCCAGAGCTGAGGGGAGGGGGAGGAGGGGGAAAGGTGAAGGGAGGGTGGGATAACTCAGTATGACATATATTCACAGGCAGGAGAAACCCACGCACCCACGCAAACACGCGCGTTTTCATCATGTAGAAGCAGACAGGCAGAAAGACAGACAGACGGACGGACTTCGACCTCAAACTTCATACCAGCATGTAGCCCGGGCTGCTGCGATTGGAAACACCGACGGACGCATCCGGATTCCTCTACTGATATAAAATAAAACCCGCAGGTAAGAAGCTTCTCATCCTGGTCTATTGGCTACTAACGCGGTGAGGTGAAGGATCCTCTTCCCTCCCCCGCGCATCAATGTTTCATGCGCGACCCTGCGTCGAGGTGTTTTTGCAGAGAGGAACTTTTGGTCTTGTGTCGGATTACACTGGCAGTTATGATGCGGGTGTCATAGCTGGGAACGAATCCGCCGGTTTGCAGCAGCAGCAGCAGCAGCAGCTGCAGCAGATCGCCCCGCTGTAAACAAACCCAGCAGACGTGCGGCTGCCTTTCAGCACCAAGGACAGAGCTCCGGAGGCTGCTGCGTAGTTTAACACCGGAGGCGTCTTCTAACAAAAACACAACACAGGCCTTTACTGTCTATGCTATGAATTAAACACAGAGTAATGTCTCTTAAATAACAATCTTAAACGCAAAAAACGAGGATGAGCTGTGCATTTTCTTGTTGCAGCATTTTCCCAGACGCCACAGAGCCCTCTGGGTAAATATATGGTAACTCACAGTATATCTGAATCATCACTAACACCAGGCAGAGAAAGAGAATCAATTTGCTAGTTAAAAAAAAGGACAGATGTTAATTTCTCAATATCAGAATGACCAGGTGGGAGTCAAGTCAGTGTTTTTTATACATGTCATGGTTGTGCACCAAAACAGCAAAATTACAGCATGGAAAATCAGGAGCAACTTCCAGGTTCCAAATGGCTCCTATTCCTCTCTAAATATAGAACCATCTTATCCTGCAGAGAAATGATCAGATGGACAAAATGGTTCAAGAGTTTGTATGTGCAAATTAGGTCTTGGTTTCATGTGTCCTAGCTTTGAGATGTGATAATAATAATTCAGATTTATATGGTAAAATTCATGCAGCAAGAAGTGCTTTCAAATGTGACGGCAGGACAAAAGAATTAGAAATATGTGAGGGTTACACAAATATTTATATTTTTAATTTCTTTGAAATGGACAACTGGCATGTTTGATGAAAGGCATATTCACGTATCTTAGAGGGAAGATAGATATAGAAGACTGGTAGAGGACAATCTAAGAGCGTGCGATGGGGCATAAAATGAAAGACAGTTTGTCATCAAGCCCCAGGTCACTTGGAGCTTTATATAAGTATGAGAACTTTAGTATCAATTCAGAAACAAATTGGAGGTCAGCGCAGACTAACTAGAACTGGCCTAATGTACATTGTGTTTTCAAATAAGTTTAGGGTGTTGAACCTTGAGAAAGCAACATATTACCTGTCAGGAAGAGAAGGTCAGTGAGTTCTCCGCCAGGCTGGAAACACAGACTACTCAGATCAAGTCTCTGTCAAAACAGGCAGATTATCTTATCACCGAGATCCAAAAGAAGCTGAGTGAGAAGTTACAGCAAGAAAAATACATCCATCAGCACTAACTCAAGGCTGAGAATCAGTCTTATGCTGAGTGGGTGAAAGAGGATCAGGAGTTGATCCAGGGGCTGAGGAGTGAGCAGGATGCCCTCCATCAGGAATTGGAGGGCCTGAAAGCAAAACTGCAGGAACTGCCCTCGAACAACCTCGAGAGCTGAAGGAGCAGAAGGAGTCCCTAACACATTTACTGATGCCAGAGCCTGAAGTCTCTGAGGAGAAGCTCCCTAGAGAGAGAAAAAAAGAGGCATCGGTCTGGAAAAGAAACTGCCACTTCCTCATTTTGGCTCTTCATGTTCCTTCCCATGGCATGTTGGTTTCCTCCGATGCCAAATCCCATATGTTCAGGTGAATTGGACACTCTAAATTGCCCCTAATCAATCAGTTTAAAAAAAAGACCACCATCAGTGACAACACAATTTCATTGATTCATTGTACTAATTCTATATAGAATAAAATACAATAATCTCAGCTTGACTCATAAATAGTGTTAACAGTCAACAGTTACAAATACAGTATGTTTTATTAAGGACTTATGGAGTTAATATTTCAAAACATTGAAAAAGGTTTTAGGTTAAAATTTCAAGAAATACACGTCCTACACATCTGACTTTTATTTAACAAATGCTACATGGATACTTACAAGTTACATTTAACAGTGCTTTCTTCACTAACAGTGTAAACATGTTACAGCAAACATTCACATTTAAAATAAATTGCTGTAAGGGCAGGTAAATAGAGTTTCATTTACTGATTGATAGATGGACTGTGACACTGTTTTACAGGAGCAGAAAATGGCAGCCGCAGACACCCTCTGCTTCACTTTGTGGATTGCCACGGTCTTCACCACCGGACTCGGCTGCCCTGAGCTCTGCACCTGCTCAGATAAATATGGCCGCCACTTTGCTGAATGCTCCTACAAAGACATAGCTGAAGTCCCAGATGGTTTTCCTTCTAATGTTACAACTGTGAGTCTCTCCGCTAACAAGATCAGTTTGATACCATTGGGGAGTTTTGACAATGTCACCCAGGTGACATCGCTGTGGATGGCCCACAATGAGATCGTCTCCATTGAACAAGGGGCCCTCACACCTTTGGTTCATCTGCGTAACTTTGACATCAGCCACAATAAAATCGTAGACTTTCCTTGGGAGGATCTGCAGAACCTCACAGCCCTGCATCTGTTGAAGATGAACAACAATGAGATGGCCCACCTGCCGAGGAACGCCTTCTCCAACCTCAAAGAGCTGAGGTCCCTGCGACTCAACAGTAACAAATTTATAACTATTGCTGAAGGGACGTTTGATGGTTTGGTGTCTTTGTCCCATTTGCAGATTTATAGCAATCCTTTTGCGTGCACCTGTTCCCTCAACTGGCTCAGAGCCTGGATTTCACTTTTCAACACCATGTCAGTCGCGGAGCAGGATTTGATTATTTGTGCAAGTCCGGAGAAACTTAAAGGGGAAGTGATCGGAAAATTACCTGAGTCAAGGTGCACAAGCCCAAATGTCACAATACGGACTGAACCAAATATTCATAACACAACCCTCTATGAGGCCAACACATTGATCCTGACCTGTGATTTCAAAGGAAACCCGAAGCCACTGGTCATGTGGAATATTCGCAGCAAAAGCCGGAGGCAGGAGCTGGTGTTGTCGTTCACCGAGGATGACTCGGCAGAATCAAATGCGGACTCCTCACTGTCCCTACACCCTGTCAAAGTCTTTAATAATGGAACTCTTATCATTTCACAGCTTAGGAAAGAAGACAGCGGCAACTACAGCTGCTCGGCCACGAATGAGTTTGGTAGAGCTGATGATTCAGTATCTGTGAAGGTGGTGGCCTCACCCAAACCAACACCACCAACCCAAATGACCACAACACCCACTTACACTGAAACACAATCATCTACACGACGACCAACAGACAAAATATCTATTTTTGATTCTGTGCGTCTTCCTGATGTGAGGAGAAAAGACTTGAACATGAATGTTGTACCAACTGTCCCGCCCACTGCAGAGATTAATTCGGAGTCTTATGAGGAGGAAACAAGATATCTGTCACGTGCTAGTAAATGTGGCCTGACAGCAAATACAAGATACATATCTAGCCATGTCTTTAACGGGAGCCTGGATGATATAAAGCAGTACACATTTGACTTTGGTGTCATTGCATTAGGGGTGTCAGAAACGGAGGCAACAGTTCGACTCAACCCTCTACTCATACCCAGAGAGAAGAGCGCCAATCGGGCCGCCACTACTGCCACATCTGAAAGCCTCCTCAGTGACAGCGAAGAGGACCACGGCCCTTCAGACGTCTCTGAAGGAGTCCACTCCAGTGGCTTGTATCTGTGTGTTACTGCTGATCGCAAACACTCAGCTGTGCAGTGGTCGAGAATCAAGGAAGGCGTCAACACTTATCTGTTCAGCGGTTTACGCCCTGGCACCAACTACTCCCTGTGTCTGACCTACAGAGGGGAGGACTGCGAGGTCCAGGTGCTGTTCACCACCAGGAGGAGGGTGCCAAACCTGCTGATCATCATCTCGGTCAGCATCTGCCTCCTGACAGTGTCTACTGTGCCTCTGCTCGGCGCGACATGCTTTCACCTGGTGTACAAATATCGCAGCAAGACGTACAAGCTGATCCTGAAGGCCAAAGACCAGTACCACATGGAGAGGAACCTCACCGCCAACTTTAACATCCATGCATCTCACACTGACTCTCAGAGAAAGATTAATGTCAGTCAGCTGGACGAGGAGGAGGGGGAGACGGAGAGCAGAGACGGAGATGGAGAGAAGGAGGCGGATACAGAAGAAAGTGTGGTGACTGAGTCATTTACTTTGTCTCAGTGTAGGGGGAATTTAGACGACTGTGAGGTAGGATCCGAGTACAGTGATAGGCTGCCTTTAGGAGCCGAAGCAGTGAATATTATAAGCAACTACAAATATCCAAATCAGTAAATGCTGAATGTTTCTGACGTAACATAATTTACATTCAGTTACAAGGTAAAACAGGTTTATTTTGTTTTAAATTTGTGTCAGTGGTTTAGGTTCCCTTTAGCCTTTATGAAAGCTGCCTAGCACGCCCGGTTCTAGACTGCTCTGATTGGGTGGGGCATTAAGAGATGTTGACTGGTTTCTAACTGCGAGACTTCAAGACTCATTACTGGGCTACTCTGAGTGTTATTTAGGACTGTAATCTTTTAACATGCATTGTTTTATGTTACCTAAAACTAAAGTAAAAGAATCTAATAACACATAAGCCCATAATGTATTTAATTTGGAATTAATTGGTTGATTTTGGTGTGGTCCTCATATGGAAACCGATACACTTGGCATCCTAAAGATGCTATTTATTTTAATAGACTTATCATATATCATTATTATCACCATAACATGCTTTTCTACTGTAGTAAAATATCTTTTCAGTAACAGTAGTTAGTGACGATTGACGTGCTGATGTCAGTGTAGTGTCTCATCTCCAGTCTGAACTTTCTGTTACTGGTAGAGTTTATTGCTGCTCTGTCTCAACGCAGTTAAAGTTGTTTTCTTCATCACAGTGACTTACTACCCACTGTACATTTAAACTTAAACTAGTTCTGCTCCAGCACTTATAGATCTCTGCTCCTTTTAGCACATTAATTCAGCTGTTGTTTACATGCTACTCAGATGCTAGTTAGCTTAGCTTAGCAGTTAGCACTAGCTTCTCTCGCGCGCGCGCTCGGTGTTTCTTGAATTAACAGATGAACGTGTTCATCAGAGTGTGGTGTTGTTGTAAATTCAGTGTAGACGACTGTGATGTTTATTACATCTTCAGTGATGTGTGCTGTCTTACCTTCGACACACGGCTCAGCTAGCTAACCGGAGCTTTTTCTAATCTGTGACCGTCTGTGTACACAACAGCCTTCAGCGTGATAGGCTATTAGTCGTGACGTGTAACCAATCAGATGGTGCAGTGGGCGGGACATTTCCCTAGACCTCAGAGTGCTGACTACGGACCAAAGACAGACGCAGCTAAAGTACCGCATTTTTTAAATCAGTTGTCGGTTAAAAAATAATATTTGGAAAATGCTGAATAGCCCTACTATTCAGTTATTTTTTAAATTCTGGGATGAAGTGGGACGATTTGGTGCGGCAGTTGGAGCATTTGGTGGGGCATTGCCAGCACCACCCCCCGTGCCCATGCCCATGCCCATGCCCATACCCATACCCAGAGCTGGGCCCATGTTAATGAGTAAGTAAACAGGCAGGACTCAGTTCACCTGTAATTAAGATCACAAAAGCAACAGAATGAGCAGACAAACAGGAACAGACGGGTGAAGCAAAGATAACGCAGGGAAAAGACAAACAGGCAGAAAACAGCTACAGATGAACAGCAAGGTACTGGGCTGGTTTAAATACTGCGACTGATTGGGGAATGGTAAACATGTGAGTAGGTGGGTGTGGGGAGTCAGGTGACTGGGGACGGAGGGAAAACGGAGGGAGGGAATGGTAAGGCCTGCAATCAGAGGAGAGTTAGAAAAGGGGAAAACAGGCAGGAATGAATGAAATCATGACTCCCATCCAAATGGGTCTCAACTGAAAATTATCAAGAAAATTATACACAGCATTTGGTGGGGGCTCCCCACCCCCACCCCCATGCCCATGACTAGAGCCTAGAAATACTGCTTTGTTCTACAGTGATCTCAAGGCTCAAAATATATTTATTGGCTTCAAACCACACCCAAAGCTGAAACACTCAGTGGCTGGATGCAGCTGCCCGGCTCTATCAACTGTCAGGGGAGGTTTTCCAGACAAAAGTCTTTTAGCAAAGGCTGAACAAGACCTGGTGTGGGCTGTGTTAATCTTGTTACCCAGACTCTGTTGTAGCTGGGAACATCTGGGCTTGTTTTCATCCTTCTAAGGCAATTTTCTGTTATTCATTTATGTACACTTCTGGAAAACAGTTTCCACAAACAACACCAGAAAATGACAAAAAAAAATAAAAATCAGACATCAAAGTAGAAAAAGCAGCAATGTCTCTGCAGTTATTAAAACATATGATATGACTGCTAAATAAGACTGAGGAAACAGCTATCGCACTACCAGCTTTGGTCATTTGGTTGGCTTACTAGAAAGCACATAGAAACTTTGCACCTTCACCACAACTGCACAATCCTCAAAGGTTTTATTTTTTAAATCTGGATCCAGACCCTGCACCAAAATACACATAGTGATAGACAATCATTGGATACCAGTCCAGCCAAAATGTTCAAAAAAGGCCTTATCGCTCTACATTAAGAAATACTGTAAACAAATCCTGGAACTAAAGATGTTTTTTTGGACCAAATTCCAGTAAAATCTATTAAAATATTTTAAATATATCCCACTAACTATATATATATAAACAGCAAATAAAACTGAAACATATATAACCTTATAGGTAGAGGTAATATTACATTCAACATACAGGCTTTTTGCGAAACTTCCATCATCAATCTGAGAGTTTGTCCACAAGAACCACAGATTGCCAAAATGTTCTTGCACATTGAGGAGAGTCCATGAAGTCAACTCTGAAACAACAGTAATGAGTCCTCAGAGGCTCTGTTGTCCACATGTGTTTCCAATTACACTGGCTGATTAGACCACTTATCAGGTTGAAGTTGAGTGATGTATCCTGGGAAATACATCTTCTACAGATACCAAACTCTATGAACTAACAAAAGTTATAACGTTGTTAATTGTTCCACCATAATAGATGCAATAAAGATAATCGGAAGTTTGGCAATGGAAGTTAAATCATCTGTGTGGGTGGACTACAGTTTGAATGTGTAGGGGCTTTAATTTTCTTTTTTCTTTTCTTTTTTAATTTAATTAAGTCTCTAATTAAGTGTTATTATATGCCCAAGTTAATTGTTTTTCTCAGCACAGACACCAACAAGAAGAAATGAAAATCTCTGTGAAGAAATATTCTTACTAACTTTATGGTTATATATTTTTTTATTGCCTCCATGTCTGTTTGTTCAGAGCGTCTTTGTTCAACCTGTGTAAGAAAACGACATGACCACACAACGAACTGACCTTATTTCTGCCGTCCTGTGGTTACTATCAAACCACGTTTGACAACAAAAAGACATGTATGTTACAACAAATAACAAAGCTTGTGTCACATATGAAATGATGAAGAATAATGTAAACTAGATGTAAGCAGTAGTAAATGGACTAACTGTACCTAAAATATACCAATATTCTGCTTTAAACTACTCACGGTAAATGTGTGCTGTCGTATCACTGTAGGAGTGAAGTAGCTTAAAAAAATACAGACACTCAATCTTCTCAGAAGGGAGTTTAAATGTTTATAAAATCTGTGTCGTTTCAAAGAGAAAACTGTTGTGTCCTGCAGCTGTGAGCTCTTTGTCCAGTAATACTGTGAACATTTCCTATGAAGATAACCTGTTATAGCTCTCTGTCACGATGTTAACATGTGGACAAGTTAGTTCAATATTATCCACCAAGTCTACTTCAGTGTACAACTGTAAAAGCACTAATAATGAGTGTGTACGTGAAGTGATTGCTCAGTTGTATCTGGGTCATGTGTCCATCCTGCTGTTTTTTCCCAGAGTAGCTACTGTGTTAGAAGATCTGCATGCTGCCTGTTGTTGTGAGCCGCAGTATGCTGTGTCTTGTTTATATGTTTTTTGACTTAAAGGTGAACTTTGGGTCAGTGTTTGCTGCTGTACTTTTCTGTTTTACACCCCTGTAATAAATGAAATAGTATGTTTTTACCAAAGTGTTTAAATCTCCTCACCGACTCTCCTGATCCTACGTGCCTCAATAAAGTTTGGACAAAACAACCCTGATAACTGTTTATCTTTTTGTCTCAACAGGACCAGCATACAAACAACTACATCTTAGTTAGCTAGTTAGCCGGCTAGTTAGTTAGTAAGTTTATATTTCGATGTGGTGCAAAACATTGAGGACATCCCACATGGGATTACAAGAGACCAGAATAAACCAAATGTCAAAGTAACCACAAGACCACGTCCTGTAAGACATATACAGTATTTAAAATACTTAAATTCAATGTGTCAGTAACTAGTGTTTTTTTTAAAAGCATAAAAGCATTCATATAAAATTTGTTTCATGAAACAGTTTTGTGTGATTTGATGTTTTATCCACAAATAGAGCCTTTTAGGTAGTAAATTTATTAATCATTATTTATTTGATTTGTTTGAATGATAAAATAATGGCTTCATAAAAGCCTTGATACATCATGAATAAAATGATGATAAACAGCTCAAATAATACCTCAAGTAAGAGAAGGATTAGTAAAAGACTTAATTAAAAAGGAACAATAATAAATAGATGAAATGATCATTACTTTGTAATTAAAAGGCATAAACAATTAAATACATCAGCAAAATGAAACTAAATCAATTACTTGATATTTAAAGAGATTTTGTAAAACAATCAGTTTTTAAAAGCAATATAAATGAAAAAAAAACAAATTTAACAACATACTTTCTATTGGAGCCTTTTATTTTTCTCCAGCAGTCACTTGTCACATGTTAAGAAAACTTTATTTGTAAATCCATTAAAACAGCATATAGGAAATAAAAGGCATCATGTAACAGAAAACTCTCATCTGCCATATTCATGTTATAATGTGCAATAACATTTATATTTGTTATAGTATGGTATAATATAAATATGGTAGTTATATTACATTTAAATCCGTAGCCTAGCAACCAAAGGTTATTCTGGAGTAAGAATAAAGTTCTTGTGTTTTTTCATGTTATCACTTCACACAAGTTGATAAAATTCTACCATCCGTGATCTTACAAAATCCTCTCAGCGAAGAGAACAGAGAACATGCAGAGAACCAGCATGTGCTGACATTTCTGCATTAACCTGGGGCAATAATAGACTCATGTCCGAGCTCTAATCGATCCTCTGCTCCAGTTCTGATGCTGACATTGATCAGCTCTGTCAGTCTGTGCAATGTCAGTGTGGAATTACTAAAAGGCCTCTAGACTATTGCACAAGCGTGACACAATTACAGTTAATTTTAATCAGTAGCTGGGACCTGATTCATGTTGGAGCTGATGGGAAGACATATAGTTATATTTTATTAAATGCCACCAGCTTCCTGGTGAGTGATACTTTTTATTTTAAGTTTCGAAGCTTTTTTTTCACATGTGAAACCATTGCTACTGGGGCTGAGAGGCATCTTAGTACATCAGTAACAGGTGGAGACAAACTCTAAAGCCAGCATCAGTCTGTAGAAATCCCACAGGTCCACAAGACATTCAACCACTTATGTGAAGGTGAATAAATCACATCAGGAGCAAATTTCAAGCTTTAAAAAACTGTGCTTAGGACAACAACAAATGTTCTGCTGGCTTTGAGTTTATCACCATGTGCCTGACTTGACCTACATCACAGACTCTGGATAAACCCTGACTGATGATTTAGGTTATTCTAGTGCCACCAGCTGGACCGAGCAAAAATCTGGTATGACAGCGGTAGTATACTCCAAACAAGATCACACTGGACGTGTTCACACACAAAAACCAAATGACAGCTCTGTGTTTCGTATGGATCACAGAGCCAGGTGACACATTCCCAGTTCTTGACTAAACCTTAACCAAATGTTTTAGTTGCCTAACTATAATCACATCTCAGCTGTAGTTAACCATAACCTGTCCTGAACCTTGGACATAGCATTGTTGCCACTGGAAAAGCAGGAATCTTAAGAATCATTCAGTATTGGCGATATAATAATATAATAATAGTAATAATAATAACAAAAAATAATCAAATGGACTCATTCATCACCCAAAATATAGTGTTGAATGTGATTGGTTTCTACTTTCCCTGTGAACTGTTTTGTCTCTCATGTAATATGACTTTGTTTGGAGTAAACCACCAGCTCTACGGTCTAGATCAGGGAGCTCAGTCAGTTTTATCTTGGTTTGTTGCGGTCTCCGTGGACTGGTCAGGCTCGGGGGCCTCCTTCTTGCTGCCTTTCTTGGAGCTGATTTTGGGGGTGCCGTTCAGGATGCTCTCCGAGGTCTGCAGCGTCTGGAAGTGCTTCCTGGAGCCCAGCAGGGACGGGTTGTTGACCAGCGTGTAGAGCAGCTGCCAGCGAGAGCGAATCCTCCGACTGCTGGTCGCCTTGCTCGGCCGGTTCTCCTGGATCCCTGAAAGCATGAAGGAGGAGCAGGCTGTCAGGGCAGAGGGAGACACCAGACTGAAAGGCTGAGGGTCGATGAATGTACTGCAACTCTGGTTACTCCAATCACTGCGATGTTCATGTTTTATAAATATGAATAAATGTGGAAGATTGAAACAAGGTGAATCTGTTATTTGTTATTAGATCAATAATTTCAGCTCTGGTCTTGTTCTGGGGGTGGTGGGTCTAGAGATCCTGCTAAATGTTTGGATGCTAAGTGAGTGGATGACAACATGCTAACAGGCTAACTGCTACATGCTTTCCAACCAGCTTTAACACACTGTTCATAAAGTCTATGATACCAATGTTTGCATGGGAGAATGATAACAAGCTGAAATGCTAAGTGCTAACTGTGACAGTTTAATGTGATAGGGGACGTTAGCTTACTGGCCTGCAAAAACATGTTTCATTTTAATATTATCATTATTCATTCTTTTCATAATAAATGTCCAATTCATTCTTTTCATAATAAATGGCCAACATATATGTGTGTGTGTGTGTGTGTGTGTGTGTGTGTGTGTGTGTGTGTGTGTGTGTGTGCAGTCGGGATCTATACCTTCCTCCGCGTCTCGTATTTTCTGTCCAGCTCTGCCGCCCTCGATCATCATGTCCAGCAGCAGCCCACAGAAAGCCTTCACCACCGGGTGTGACTGACTCACCTCCACCTTCAAGAAGTGGGTGTAATATCGGTAGGCTGGATGGGGTCAAAGGTCACAGAGCATAAAGTCAGACTGAGACCATTGCCGGATAATATCTTCAATTCTGTGCGCGCATGTTTTCTTTGACCACAAAACTCAAACTTCATATTTATCGGTTAATGCTGTTTTATCTTTTCATCGTCAACAAATCGCCTGAAGAAACCAAAACCAATGATTCATTCATCCAACTAATAAACATCGTCTGGTTGCCGCAGCCTGAGAGCTGATGCATATCTGCCACAGAACTGCATCATGTGCTTAAAGTAATTTAATAGAAGCCACACTGTTGTACCTGGGTCATAGGACTCTGCGGTGCGGTGCAGCAGACTGACGTCGATACGACCCAGGTGGATGATGTTGTACAAAGCTGTTATCACCATTCTCCATATTGCCACTATCACTCCCACCAACGTGTTGATGAGGAAGAGCAGGTAGGTCAGGAGGAAGAGACTCTCTCTGGAAATCACCATAGAATGTGTCAGAAAAATTACCTTAGCATTTTACACATGAAGAAGAGTTCACTTGTTATTGTCAGTATCAATCAGCCTGAAACAAGAAATACAGCTGGCTACAGCTTTCAATCTGTAGGAGAAGAGTTGAGTATTTACCAGACAAGGAGAGTCTAAAGACATATTTCAAGTTGCATGATGGGAAGTGAGAACTTTATTGAATTGCAATACTAAATCAACGGAGTAACTATTCAATAATAATTTCTGTACATTTGTATTTCCCAATAAAAAGGACTAAATGGTGTTTCAAACTGCACAATTCACAAAACACAGGATCAGTTGTTATGTAAAGTTGTTGTCTAAATTAAACATATTAGAGTATAAAAATACTGGAATTTATATTTTTATTTCTTGGCTTAAAAGTAATTTAAATTCAATATATTAGAGTATAAAAATACCGGCATTTACATATTTATTTCTTGGTTTAAAAGTAATCTTAATTAAATATATTAGAGTATAGAAATACTGGAATCAGCTTACAAAATACGCAGCAGTCTTTTAATTGTAAAATCAAACTACCCCATGCCCCCAATTACAGCTCTGACATAATTAACAATCAAATCATTGTAATATCTCAATGACAGAGTGATTTCTCTAATATTCTACTGAAATTGATGTTTTCCAGTTTGTAAATGTCACAAAACTTACAGCACTGAGAATAAAGCAGTTCAGTGCGCGGAGTATCAGATGGAGAAACATATACTCTATCTATTAGCTTCTTTTAAAATAAATTAGCACAATTTACAACAGTTATAACAAATACCTTTCACAGGTAACTCGAGCATAACTTTACACAATTAATTTCTATTTAATTGATTATATTATATTCTAATTATATTCTGATCAGCAGCACAAAAGAAACCTAATATTGCCGGCTTCTCATACCTGTGGTTCAAGTCTCTTGTTCCAGCTTCCTTTTTGATGAAAGCAAACTTGGCAGTCACATGCTGAAGCACTGTCACCAGTGTCAGTGTGACCCAGGCAGGCCTGAGACGTCACAAACCACAGTGATGGAAAGGAAAAAAAACAAAAAAGAAGAAGTTATCTCTGTTCTGATCATTAATTAAAAAGAATAAGAGCTACATGTGACGTTGCCGACTCACCATGCCTTTCCTGCGATTTCAAAGACGATGATGTTACGGCCGTGAAAAATAGGGATAATGATCAGAAACACCAGGAACAAGAAGCAGATGAAAAACACAACAGTCTGGATGGCCATTCCTGCAGCGCAGCACAGAAACAGGCCGTTATTAACCATAAAGTCAAACACATTTCTGGATATATTTTCTTTCTTTGTTTTTCATCGAAGCAGTTTATTAAAAATTTGAAAAATCAATTCTGCCATTTCGTTCATTAATCCTATTATTAATTAAAGGATAAGAGAAGCATTATTTTATATGTTTTCTTACTGTAAATAAATCCCACGAAAAGACCAAAACCAACAAACCGACTGTCAACTCAAAGCTCTGGTTCCCCAATATGTCATTTTTTCAAAACGTCTCACAAACACACTGGCTTTTTGCAGACTTCACTGTGCTGTAGAATTAATTTTAAATGAATAAAACCGATCTCAACTCAATGACTATTGTGAAAACCTGTTTTTAGAACTTTAATAAAAAATAATAAACTGAAATCTCTTATTATAAAAGTATTCAGACCCTTTGCTGGTCAAGAATGGGACAAAGAGCCCAGATTCAGGTGTGTAAAGCTTGTAGAGGTTCATACTCAAAGAGGTTTCTACAGAGCACTGAAATAAGGGTCTGAATACGTTTGCAAATCTTCACTTTGGATTATTGAGTGTAGATGTGTTTTTAATAGTCTTTCTCTGAACAACAGTGGCGCTGTATGGAACAGAGGAATAAGATATGATTCTCTTTCGCATCAATTTAATTAGTTAGTTCTGGTCTTTTCATTGGATCCGTTGGAAATATTCCTTTATTTGTTGTAGAATATTACAAGCTTTATCCTGAAATGAAGTTTGAATCAATGATGATTTTCAGCTTTACCAAAGCAGACGATTGCAGCCTGGTATCCTGTCAATCCCATCCAGCAGACGATACCAGGTTTAGATGGAGAGATGGTCTTCTGGCTGTTATAGATGTTGTAAATGTCTCCCTTATACAGGCCTTTCAGGTTTGACCTACAACAAGTGAAATCAGTGATACATCAGGCAAGAGGGAATCTAACAGACACAACACACAGCACAGAGAGATGTGGGTGGGGTTACATCGGGACGCTCGTCTTACTTCTACAGCAACATTTAACAGTCCAGTTCCCACTTGGACATGGGCATGAAAAAAAAGTAGTAGTAGCAGAGTAAAGTTAGAAGTTGAGCCTTCTAGTTAGAAAAACAAAAACAAAAAAAAACATAAATAAAGCAGGAACATTTACTATCAATAGTATTTAAATTATCACATCGTTAAAAGTTACTGAGGAGAACTCGAGACTCATCAAGAAAAGATAATCGACTTAATCTAACCAGAGACACCTGTCTATGGAGTGTTATTGCACATACCTGTGGAGAACCATGGACCTCATGAGCATGATGAGACTAACCAAACAAGACAGGGTCATCGCACACAGGTAGCACACTAACAAAAGAAAGACAAAAGAAGTTATTGTTCTTTTCTTTTTCTTTTAAAGGTACAGAGTCAGATTTTGTTAAAATGCTAAAAAAAAAAAGTTTCCTCACACACCTTCCAACAACCAGGTGTAGAAGGTCACGATCTTGACGACCTCCATCCTGTTGTCTGATAGGACGATCCCGAAGCCCAGTAACAGGAAGGCGATGTTTTCATCGATACCAGCACGGACAATATGGAGAGTGGGGACCACCATCACGACCAACAGCAACGCCGTCTGAAACCAAGTCAAGTTACAACATGGTGTGTTTTCTGCTCCACAAACATAAACAGCAGTAAATACATTTTTATCAGATGGTAAAACATGATGATGATGATGATGATGGCTGATGAAGGACTTACATGATATATCGCCACTAAAGCAACAAACGCCGACACCGCCAGCTTGAGCGGGAAACGAAACACTGAAAGACGGAATGAGTTATTGTCTCTGGATTTCAGTCGCAGCCATTTACCATCACCACATCCCTTCAGACCTTTAACTTATAAGATTGGCTACAGTCAATGTGTCGTTACATTTTAAAAAATCAAGAGAGAAGGTACTCACCTTTTTCAGGTATATAAATATAACTCTTCGGCACCTCCAGTATTCTCTCTGCCAGTGTTGGTTTGTCTGTAGCTGAAGAGCTACAATCATGAACAGATCATGTGAGTCAAATACAATATAAACGCTCTTCCTTTCAATTTAAATATAATGACAGTTGGCAGAAATTAAGATGAAAAAGTAATACATTTTATTGCCCTAAATCATTTTAATGAGGTAATCTAAATGAATAAGCCGTAATTTGTAATGTGTAACTCTATAATCATAGAATATAAACAATATAAACAATAGAATATAAACAATGCTACAAAGTTAAAGTCCATTTTGTTAAATTACCAGTGTTTACACCTGTAACCAGCTGCATCTTTTGGAGAATTTTAACTTCAGTAAAACATCATATGTTCATTGATGTGGGGAATTTCAGTTTAAGGGGATTAGAGAGTCAATATATGAAATTGTTTCAAAGTTTCATATGTAACTTTCACATGTGCTTTTATTTTATGATGATGATGATTATGATAAAAAAAAAAGTAGATTTATTCTGAAAGGTAGTGGGAGGAAGGAAAGTTCTGGTATATATGAAAGAGCGCTTCAAACCTCACACCTGTGGTTTTTGGGAGGGAAAAGCACAGGTGTCAGTGATTACTAAAATAACGAGGACATTTCATTTAGGTGATGGGATCCTGGTTTTGTTCATACTGGTCCGCGATCACGGTGAACTGGGACACTGTTCTCCTGCGTTTTGTAAGATCTGTAAAATAATACCATGACCTAGATGTGTCATGAAACTAAACATCATTGCTTTAGCTCCAATCACCTGACAGCGGACGACTTTTTCTTGAGAAGTGACTTCACGTAGTCGTTGTAGTAGCTGCTGTCGAGGTCCTGTGAGCAAAACAAAGAAAAACTAGACTTACAATGAGTCACTGTATGAGGAAGTAGCTAGAGGATGTTATTACGATAAGGTCAAAGGTCATGTGTTTCAATTTCTTGATAATTTCCGGTGGAAAACTTTTGACTCTCCATTTGGACCAGAGTCATGATTTATTCATCTTCATTTAATTAATTCCTGCCTGTTTTCACATCTTCTAACTCTCCTCTCGTTGCAGACCCTACCACGCCCTCATGACCTGCAGTAACCTCTGTTTTCCCTCCGTCCCCATTCACCTGACGCCCCACACCCACCTGATCACCTGTTTCCCATTCCCCAATCAGTCACAGTATTTAAACCAGCCCAGTTACTCTGGTCTCAGTCCTGGTGCCTCAGCTGTCTGTTCCTGTCTGTTCTGTTGCTTTTGTGATCTTAATTACAAGTGAACTGTTTTCTGACCCGTTAAAACCGCACTGGATCAAAACCACTGACCAGGCCATGTAATATTTAAATTGCCCCACTGCCACTTGACAAAAGTAAAGTCACGTATCGCGAAGCGTCGGCTTGAGGAGGAGTTTAAGCAGTAGGCAATTCCAAGAAGACAGAAACCATATTCATTCCCTGAAATTAAAACTGGGTTTCGAGCACTGAGCATGGTTGAAAAGATGACCTCAAAAGATATCCGTCATTCTCTTTTGGATGAGCTGTGTAATTAGTTTGAATAAAAATAGGTAAAAATACAAGTTAAAAAGATTAATGACTGAAATTTCTGGTTTTCCTGTTTGTTTGTTCTCACCACAGGGAGCTCTAAATCTAAATCACTGACCAAAACTGTAGACAGATTAAATCTGCTGTTGAAACAAACTCATTTATTTGAAAGGGGGAGGGGGGGGATATCACCTCCCTTGTCATAATCTGCACAAGGACGCTGAGTTAAACCCACTCTGCTCTGAACAAGCTGCTTACAGTAATCATGGTTATGATTTACATAGTTGAAATTCATGTTTCTTGCTTCAGTTGCACCAGAGACAGTTTACACATAAATCATGAGGCAGAAAAAATGCTTGACTATGTTTTGTCCTGGCTGTATGTTGACGTCCATGTTGATGTCTTTTCTCACCTCATCAGTCTTTGGTCCTTTGACAAACAGCAAAATAAACTGGACACAGAGATATGCCAGGCAGGCCAGCTGAGGCAGACTCGCAAGCAGAGCATAGAACTTATAGATCTGCGAAGAGGAAAAAATGTTAAAGTGTCAGTTTTTGTTCATGTGGTTTTTATGTGTTTCAGCTGAAATTAATGTCATGTTCTGATTAGTCTGACTAATCCACTGTCAGCAGTTTTCATTATTTTCTACTGAAGCTTAAAGCTGCACCTTTTGACATTTGTTTTACTTTTATAAAGATTATTATGCCAAAGTAATGTGTAATTTTTGAAGAACCCGAACAGGACTGACTGCACTCCACAGCTAGCCTTAGCTAAAGCTAACTTACCAAGTTTTTCCTCTTTCGTGTGACTTAAAATGAATTTTCACGCCCCAATATCTTAGTCTTTGAGATTTGTAATGCCACATGTAAAACAGTGTCTCGAACATAATGGATAAAAGTAACACAGATCTAGAAACTAATCCTGCTAATATAGTTTAGACTTGAGAACAATAACTTATCTGGTTTATCTAGCAATGATAGTACTCAGAGTAAAAACAGCCTAAAATTAAGGCTTTACAACTTACAGTATAAGTTTTCAGTTT